CGCCCCTCCACCTAACAAACCTCAGCCCCAATTGCTTTCTCTGTTTCTTTGATCCTGTTGTGACCAGGAAGTAAAATACACAAGACTGTTAAAATGATCATTCACAGCCTATGGTAAGTGTCTGTGTTAGCATTTAGCAAAACTAAAAGGCTTTTCATGTTATTCGTGCATGATAACTCCCCAAACGTATTTCAGGAAGCTTATAATCCATGAAAGCACAAGAGGTCCATTAAAATAATGGCCAATGTCATCCACAGAACACCTTAGGAAGAGCCCCCTCTCGTTTTCACGAAAGGAAACCAAGCTGGAGAACTCACCTGCCCGGGCCCCTCTAACCTCTCATGCTTGCTTGTTCCACTGCCCCGCGTATGAAGGAGAAGAAATCATCATTTGCCACACTGTGTAAACTCTTGGTTTATACGGGGAACTGTAGGTTCTGACTGCCCATGGGATTACAGTTTATCATTAAAATATCCAACAACTTGATGTCACCGGCACTGGCAATGCGGCTGACCATGCTGACCTTGGCCTGAGTTGCACACCGTGCATATTATACCACAATATCGATGTCTTCATTCCTTCTTCCTATCAACCAACAATTCTCAACTATAGGCACTGCCCAAATTTACAGACAGTTTCTGCTATAAGCTCCTTGATGAATCAGCTGTTTAGAGAAAAAAATAAAAATAAAAATAAAAATTCCCCCAGAGAACCAGTGCCCTCTGTACAAAGTAAGGCTCCCGAGTCAGCCAACAAAAGCTTTTTAGTCCACTCTGGACTTGGAATACAGAACCTTAAGTGCATATCAAAAGAATGAAAGCTGTTGTCAGCCAAATTTAACTACCTGGATTTGTTTTCTCCTGCTTCCTGGTACTGACAAAATGAATCAAGTCCTCCCTGGAATGCCCAGAACACACCTCCTTCCTCTAGGTCAGTGGTCGGCAAACTCATTACTCAACAGAGCCAAATATCAACAGCACAATGATTGAAATTTCTTTGGAGAGCCAAATTTTTTAAACTTAAACTATATAGGTAGGTACACTGTTATTAACTTAATTAGGGTACTCCTAAGCTGGCCTTTGCTAAAAACATCCTCAATCTGATTGAGGTACGTTCGCTGAGGTCAACCCCTTCCAACTCTCCCATCCACACTCGTCTTGTATACTTGTTTCGTCTATCTCCTTTCGTTCATCCTCTCTATATGTCCAAACCATCTCAACATACCTTTCTCAATCCTCAACACTACATCTTCTTTCACTCCACAACGTTCCCTAAAATTAACTTAATAAACTTTAAAGTTTTAAGTCAACTTCGCACTGTACATGCGCACCCGCACGTGGTATTTTGTGGAAGAGCCCCATGTGGCTCGCAAGCCGCGGTTTGCCGACCACTGCTCTAGGTCAATGGCACCCTGACCTTCCTCTCAGCGTCCCCTAAGGAGACCTTCCCTTCTGAGGTAAGGGATTTGCTCAGCATGGTGGCCACAGGTAGTCAGTCCTGCAGGGGCTGGGGTTTTGAGAACTCCAAGAGCTGGCCAGCCCCACAGCCTTCAGACCACATGGCTCCCTCCCATCAGCAGACCTGCAAGGAAATGACCACTTCCCTTCCCAGGCGTTGCCTGTGCCACCACCTGGGACACCCTAACACTGCTCCTGGGTCTCCCACACGCTCAAGGTCCCTGTGGATTCTGACTCATTGGAATACAGTCCATGACTCCCAGGCTGCCGTTGTACTATCGCCCTCTCTTTCCCCCAGAAGGCAAGGCGAAGCCCTCCCCAGAGTCTCTCTCATAGAGCAAGAGACAGAACCAGAACTCAGAAGCTTACTCCCTACCCTTCCCAAGAAGAGTCTGTCCCTGCAGCCTCCGGTAGAGGAAAGAGGCTGCAGTGTGAAGAGAGCAAAAGAGGGGGCAGGAGAAACAGCAAGCCCGCAGGAGGCGCAGGAGAGAGGGGCTCTCCTCCGTCCTCAGCAGCTC